TATGACAACAGCTAATTTGCAACCAAAAGGTGAGTGAGCGTAGCGAACGAACTTCAACCTAGAGGCGAGTTAGCGTAGCAAACGAGCTAACCTGAAGGCAAGTGAGCGCAGCGAACAAGCTCCAACCTAAAGGTGAATGAGCGTAGCAAACGAGCTCCAACCTAAAGGTGAGTGAGCGTAGCGAACAAACTTCAACCAGGACGTGATTGAGCCATGCGAACGAGATAATCTTGAAAATTAAGAAGTTAAACGGGGCAAAGCCCGCGGGTTACAGCTAGTATTTCTATAAATAAGACATATGCATTCCCAATTTAAATAACATTATATTTAACGAGTGCTTAGACTTGCTTCTACAGGGAAGGAAAAAGTTTTTTTGACAATACGTTAATAGTAAGGATGAAAAAAATGAATTTGCCAAATTTTATCAACGTAAGTAATATACAACTGTTTTCACTTTCTCCTTAAGAATAACATGGGAGTTTTAAATTAGACTTTTTCCTAATTTTCTCCATGACCGTTAGGCATATAAGAACGCTTTAATATACTAAATTATTTCTTTTTTTCAGCTCTACAAAATGGTTTAGAAATAAATAGATTGTTTTTTTGTTTTTAGGTTCAAAAATGGGAATAAACATATTTGCCCCATATAACCCCCATAACCCCGTGTTCCCATGGCCCAATAATGCTGGTTCGTGAACTTGTTTGAATAAACGTAGGTCTTCACGTTTGTGCCAAATTTCATCAAAATTTGATCATTTTTGCTCAAGTTATCGTGCTAATGGACACATACACAGAAAACAAAAGGTTTTCTCTTGAGATCTATTGCAGGGCAAAAATTTTAGAGTTATTTTCACAGTTTGGTGTACATATTTAGTTTTGGCTGTATGCAATCTATTTACCGACTGATTTTAGTAAATTGTACTCTTAAAGCTACACAATTACATGAAATATAGAACAATAAATCCTATTTCTACAATATCTCCCATTTTTTTCCTATAGGTACTAAGAGTTACCCATGTTGGAAAACATCTAGTCTCGTAACCTTTAAAACTGTAATATTTCTTTAAATTTATGACATGAATGAGTTAAGCTTAACCCTTATTTGCTTTAAATAATACATGTTTTTAAACGTAAATAGTGATAAAATATAAAAATTGCAAAAGAAATTGATGAATAAAATACTAAAAATTACAGTAAAATTTGACAATCAACATTTTTTTTTTACAGTTAACTTTTTTAAAAATACCAAAAATATTTAAATTGAAAATACGTGTAACAGTCTCAAAGTGTCAAGAGCCAGGAAATTTAAGTATCTGTGACTTATAACCATTCATTTTATAGTATGATATTTAAAAGCGTTTGGCAAATTTTAGTCTTTCAAGCACCTATGACCTCTTATTAATAGATAAATATGACCTTTACAGATTGAAATTGTGTATAATCTGCTCCTAAATGATTTAAAGTATAGGAAAATATCCCTTGAACACCATTCATGAACTATTTGGAACGTTAACAAAGTATTTCTAACGCTGGACTGCGATTTTAGCTACATTTCATGTCTAAATGTCAGGCCTTGAATTGAACTGATGATTTTTTCCAATGGTTAACCACATATTTGGTTGGGCTGGTTTAATTGAAGAAGTTTACATTTAAAAAATTAAAGATTTTACCTTTTGAGATCTATTGCAAAGCAAAAACAAAAACTTTTACAGTTAATTTCGGAGTTTGGTTGATATATAGCCTTTCGAGCACTAAAAATTTCCATAAACTCTTATAAATAGATACATATGACCTTTAAAGATTAAAAATTGTGTATAATCTGCTCTTAAATGATTTAAAGTATAGAAAAATATCCCTTGAACACCACTCATGAACTATTTGGAACTTAACCCTTTCAGTGCTAGGCCAATAATTCGTATTTCGTAAGACTTTTTTGTTTACCTTTCAATTCCATTACCTGTTGTTGAATTTTAACTGTAATGTTGTCACTGTTTTATTAATTAGGCTAATGTGGAATAATAAGACAATAAGAAAAAAATATAACAAAGATAAATCTCGGTATTTGTAGTAAACATTAAACAAAACTAAGTTTTTGTTGTAATTTTCCTGGTTTTCCTATAATTTTTTATGTTCTGATAGCATTGTTTGAAACCAAAATCTCATAAAATCAAAAGACATATAGTTTACAATGTAATTTTTAATTTAACTTTGATTTAGTTGGACAAGGTTATCGTAATATAGAAATTTTAGGGAAAATAATGTTTTGCAGCAAAGTCTCAGGAACACATTTATGATCACTGTTGTGTTTCAACTGAAAAATATCATCTAAATAGTCCGTGACTAACTAGTGCTGCTACCTAGTAACGCATTGAACAACCATCTGTGGCGCTATCTGTTCGAAATCGGTGGTGTCAGCTTAAATACCGGTTTTTGACTCCTCAGTCTTCAAGCACAGATAGCCGAGAAGGCTAGGGCAAGTGTCACTTGGCCAGTGGCATTCGTCTGCTCGGGTTCGATTCCCGTCCTGTGTGGCAAATAATTGGCGACCTGTGTGTTTGTAGCGATATACTACAACCACTGGGGCATAGTGAGGTGTTCATAATCCTTGGTTTAAACATACACCTCGAAATCATCGGATTGGGCGAATCTTTTAGCTAAGGGGTTGTTAGTGTATCCTATAAACATGCAGGTCACCAATGGCCGTTTTGCTACTTTTTGTTAAAATAACCTTCCTCTCTATATCCCTTAGAGATTTTTAAAACAACGATATATCGTTTCATAGCACTGAAAGGGTTAAACAAAGCATTTCAAACGCTGGACTGCCATTTTGGCTATATTTCATGTCTAAATGTGGGCCTTGAAGTGAACTGATGATTGTTTTCAATTGTTAACCACATATTTGGGTTGGGATGGTTTAATTGAAGGAGTGCACATTAAAAAAAATAATAAAGATTTTACCTTTTGAGATCTTTTGCAGGGCAGAAACAAAAACTTTTACAGTTAATAATATCCGGCAGTTTCACCAGAGCATTTTCCCAAACCGGAGAATTGTGGCCTTCCCCATGCCTTCCTGTGTATCTCAACTTGCTCCGGCGCTGCCGGATCCGGCGTCCGGCGGTTTCGCCGGTAAGTGTGTCCCTGGCCTTAGGTTGGTCACCATTCTGCCAACCCAGCTACACCAGCTTGTATAAAGCATTTTGTTTTTGGGCCATTCTGAAATTAGGCTAAGTGGAATTTCCGCCCTTGGAAGATTTTTTAAAATTTTTTATAAGAGAATATTTATTTTTAATAGGCTATACTTTTTTAATTATAATAACAAACTAAATACATATACACCCTTTGTAGAGGTGAAGAATTAATATAATATAATATGCTATAGGCCATAGGCCTATTCCCTAGTAATTATCCATGGGAGTTACCTCCATGGAGGTTACATTTAAATCTGTTCAGTCACTTGTTAAGTCCTAACCTATAGATCCAGAGCTTATGTTTTCTAAAAGATAACAGGTGTATCCCAAATAAAAAGACAAAGTAAAAATTTTAGCATATGACATGCTTTATTTGTTGCACACTGGAGGCTACAAGGTAAAAGTTACTCGCCGAAGTACGAGAAAGGAAATCCTGTTCATTAATAGCAAGTAGGACACATGAGCAGAAAACGATCAACAGTAACCTCAATATGGCTCCCCCTTCTTCCTCAAAACTCCACCAATGAACAGTGCTGATCTCCAGTGAGCATTTCCTAGAACTTTTATAATGGTCCATGGAGATTACATCCAACCCCGTGGACAACTTTCATCTTTTACCCTAAATAAGCTAATTAGATATTTTTGTAAAAATTGTTAAGATGGTGTTAAGGCTAGGTTATATCTTTTATTACTCATAATGAGAATTTGTTATATAACTTAATTCAATGATTTTTGTTCATAAATCACTTGTCAGTGTTTTATAAAACTTGGGTGGGGACATTCCATGGTGGTTACATTTTGGGTACTTTGCAAATTTTATCTCTTAAACGTAAAATTATTTTAATAAAATAACATTGGGATCTCTTAACAATCTTGCTTCATTTATAAAAAATATCAAGTTTATAAAAATTAACAAGTTTTTTTTTTGTAGAAAACATAAGTTACTTATTGCTTGGCGTTTTGCAGATAATACGACCAAGTACCTAAATACCAATAATGTCAACAGATAGAGGACACTTTAAAGGGCACGACAGTAGGTATCAAGGTTATGTAGGCTACCTGGCAAAAAGTTAGTAAAAAAACGGGGGTTAAGGTCAGCAATAAGTAGTGAGCGCGCTTGATAAAATCTATTGCTGGGCGTTTTGCGGAAAAATACGGCCGAGTACTTACCTATAGCCTATTTGAATTTATTTTCAGTTTCAATGAGTAAAACCTTAGCCCTTACTACGCTATAATAATTGACAAAAGGGCCATTCTGAAACTAAGTGGAATTTTTTGTCCCTCTAAGTTAGATTTCATCAGGCGTATGCACTAGGCTACTTATCGCATGAAGGTTTACTAATCGAATCGATAGTTTCAATCGATATTAGCATAGCCCAGTTAAGAAACTGTACCCCACTACTCATTGCTGAGTTATTGCCAGGTTCACACCAATCTAAAATCACCGATTTCTAGCATCTTTCTCAATGTTCAAATGTGATTTTCAGAGTGAAATAGGCCTACATAAGCGTTTCCCCCAAAAGGTAAGAAGTGCTTAAAATAAGTTAATCTAATTTTGGTCTAGATATTTAGGCCTAAGGCAAAAAAAAATGCAATAGGCCTACCCAAAGTTATAGGCCTACAGGTTCTTAAGTGGACTGTGCTATGTTTAATATCGATTGAAACTATCAACTTGATTAATGACTTCATTCGATTTTTTCATTATCAGCAAGTTTTGTTAGTTAGGTTAGGTTAAGTTTATGACAGTTTTATTTTATAATTGAAATATGGGCCTAGGCCTAAGGCCTTAACTTATGCTGAAAATATACTCACCAAACACAAGCCCCACAGCCAGTAATTACAGAATGAATGAGAGAGTTAGCTATATTTCTCCATTTCCATTGTTGCCTTTTGGATATTCTGGCACTTTTAGGAACAAGTAGTTTCAATATCCAAACGTTGTTACACACAAACAAGAATAAACTGACAGTTACAACAACGTAAGCGTCGTTTACTCCGTTCAAAATTGTGTTTTTCTCTGAATCTGACATTTTGACAAAAATTAAGTTACTCCTCAAAAAGTAAATAAAATGTCGTGCTGTAGCAGGTTAAAAATATCGATGACACTTAAATTTAATTAATTCAAGTTTGAGTTTTTTGAGTAGGGTTATTATGAATGTAGTTAGGTAGGTTAGAATTCAGAGAATTGAGAAGAGGAAGAGAAGAGAATATTGAGAATTGAAATAATGGACTAGTGTACAGTGTTGCCACAGAGCTCCGGAAGAAATCCGTCCTCACAAGTCACAAGCATAAAAATCCCGCTTTTCCTCTCTAATCCGCGCACAATTCGTTTAAAATACGTGCACAATCCGCGCACTCTGTAAATTAACCTGAGTCTAATAATATAGTGCTAGAAAACAAGTTTTCCATTAATTTTTTTACCTATATCGAAATGTAACACTCAAAAAATGTTACAGGATGTTTTACACTTACCGTACCGTATGTGTGCATTCAATATTGATTGAACAGATACAAAAAATTACTCAGTTAAAAAAATTGAAATATAATGCTATTGCATTATATATATTGTATGCTATTTAATACGAAAATTTAATAAATTACATATTCAATTAAACTAAACTTATTGTTCTGAACAAACTTTACCTATAGCAGTTAAAAGTTTTAGAAATCAATAAAATGCAATATTATATCTCCTAAAATATGGGGTTAGTGTAGAGGTATCAATAAATTAAGACATAAGTTGTTGGTTTTCTCTTATTTGTGAACCATACAACAAACAAACAAAAAAGTTGGAAAATAATGTACACAAAACCACAAATAAAAAATATTACTTTTTGTTTTCAAGCTAGCCTTAGCCTGATGGTCGATGTTACCTTTGAGAATGAAAGTGCATTATTGTATGTCAATTTATTCTTTTCAAAACTAACCTAATACATTATAATTATAATAGTATAAAATATTATAAAGTTGGTTAGTTTTTTGTTTCTGTTGGTTGGTACTTTGTTTTGTTTGTCTGTTTGGTTTATAATTTTCATAATTTTAGCTCAGTGGTTTGGTTGGTTTGAACAATAGTCTAGTTGCCAAAAGGCATTTTTCACCCAAACCTGAAAGTAAGGTCCACCCGAAGTTTTATGGTGTTTTCTGTTTCTTCAAGACCTACATAACTAAAATCTGCAAGGTGCCACTTTGTCACCCTTGAGCAAATTGAAATATTCAAGATGGCGGCCAAGATGGCTTAAAAACTGTATATTTGCTGTATCTTTTCCTATAGAAGAGACAGGATAATAATTTTTGTGTCTAATTTTATGTTTTAAAGGTCAGAGAATACCAATAATTGATTATCTTAGTAATAAAAAGACCCCCGCCACAGCAAACCTGCCGACTAAGCGAATTTCCAGTTGCCTGAATTGATTTTCAATTAAATGTATTTAATTAACATTAATTTTTATGAGTACTTAGGCTTGCTGCTACAGGGAGGGTAAAAAAGTGTTTTTTTGTGAAATATTAATAACTTAGTATAAAATAAATGAATTTACCAAGTTTGATCAAAATATATCCATAAACAAGCAGACTACAACATTTTACAATATTCACCATAAGAATAACATAGGAATTTTAAAATAACAATTATTTAAATTTTCTCCGTATCTAATAATGGTACAAAAACACTTTGATATACTAAATTATTTGCTTTTTTAAGCTCTTTAAGAAGGTTTGAAGAGAAATTGGAAAATTTTGCGTTTAGAGGGTCAAAAATTAGAAAAAACAATTTTCACTCCATAAAACCCCGCGTAAAACCCCGTTCCCATGGTCCGATCATGCTGGTTCTCGAACTCATTCAAGTTTATCCTGCCTTACACCTTCAAACCAAATTTCATCAAAATTGTATAAAAATTACTCAAGTTATCGTGTTCACGGACACATATATGTAATTGTCTATTATGAAAAATAGAATTTTGGTATGTTTCAAAACCCCAACTTTTTCAATCAATCGATCAATCAATTTATTTATTGAACTATAATGAATACATGCATATTATACAATAGGTGCAAAAACCATACAAGGCTTGTCTGCACCAAAATATTATGAAAAACAGTGTTCAGTGTTCTCATGCTAGGATTTTGTCAGATCTTTTTATACATTGCCCTATATGTATGAATGTATGATTCCAAAATATGTTTTAAATGTTCTCAAAGCAATTTTTCCCACCTCAAAGTGTATTTTAATCGAACTAGATGTAGTGGTGCAGCCCGCGTCACGACTAGCGTTCCAAGTTGAAGACTAATAACAATATATCCCATAATATATCTTCAAAGCAATATACAAACTGATATGAGGTTGATAATTGTTGAAAATTGTATTCAGATTCTTTTAAGAGCCACAAAATATGAATGTTCTTATCGCCTGAGTTTGTATTTGCAAACATTCAAAGGTTTTACAAAAAAAATCTTCGAAATTTGCTATTGTTTCAATTTAAAGCTGTCTATTTTAAATAAATCAATAATGAAATGGTATAAGGTTATTATTATCTTAAAGTAAACTTGAAGAGGAATCTATTAAGACAAACCGCAAATCGTTAAGACGATTAGTTGTCAAATAATTGATGTTTTACTAAAAGCTTACATAAATCCAATATGGCGGAAGTTTTTTCAAAAATGGCGGCTTTCCACCACTTGGATTTTCTTGATTTTTAGTATAATATTCTTGACACCTTTTTTGACAAAATCCCATATATTTTGGAATATATGGGGAAGAAATATATTTTATTTCTTTTACCTTAAGTTTGATGTTGGACCGTATTTTGACTAGCCTAAAGAACAGTGTTTTTTTCTTAATTCAAGAAAACTATAATTTAAAACCATTTACCATTTACCATTTACCATCGATGTCTTCTCCGCCGTCCTTGTAGACAGGGGAATCGTCAAATTCTTGTTAATATGTGTATGCGTGTGTGTGAGTTTGAGCACTGCTCTCCTATTTATTGTTTAGGTTATATTTGTGTTCATTTATAAAGTCAATTAATTTATAATATGGTCGTTTAATCAAGTATTGTTTGAGTTGTTTTTTAAAAGTTTTATTTTCACTTATTTCTTTGAGTTCTTTTGGCAAAAGATTAAACATTTTGATCCCCATGTTGTTTGGTGTTTTACTGGTTTTGTTTAGCCTGTGATAGCCTATGTCAAGGTTTGATTTGTTTCTGATGTTATAGTTGTGACATTGGGTTCTGAGTTGGGGGGGATTTGATTTGATTGAGGTAATTGTTTCAAAAAGGTAAAGGGAGATTACAGTTAGGATTTGGTTTTCGATAAAGAAAGGTTTACAGTGGGCTTGTGTGTTTTCTTGTTCAATTTGTTCTATTATTCGAATTGCTTTCTTCTGTAAGGTTATTATTTTCTCAATGTGAATTTCATTTGCAGAGCCCCAGGCTATGATGCCATATCTGATATGCGATGAAAAGATTGCATGATATGCAGTTATAGTAATTTCTTTGTTTGTTAGACTTCTAATTCTTCGTAAAGCATACACAACTTGTGACAATTTTCCACCTAGCTTTAAAAGGTGATCATGCCATGTTAGGTTTTTGTCCAAAACTATTCCAAGGAACTTAGTATTGGTTTGTGAGTTTTCATCTGTAGTTGAAATTTCATTGTTATGGTTTGTAGGTTTGAAGTTTATTACTATTGTTTTCTGTTTATTTATTGTCAAGTTTATTTCGTTGCAAGCAGCTGTAGAGATTTGTAGAGTTTCATTAGTTTTTAATTTTTGAAGTTCTGGAGTTTTGCCATCTGTTGGTGTGATGATTGTTGTGTCGTCTGCAAACATTATACAGGCGCTGTCTTCTGTAAAATTGGTGGGGAATGAATTTATATATGTTAAGAAAAGCAGGGGCCCTAGTATGGAGCCCTGCGGAATTCCTTTGTAAGTTGTCTGTAGTTTAGACCTGCATTTGATTTCATAATAGTTCTTCGTATATTCTATTTCGACTAGCTGCTTCCTGTTCGTTAGATAGTTCTGGATCCAATCTAATGCTTTGTGAGTTATGTTAAGTTGCTTAAGCTTTTTTATAAGAATTTTTCTATCTAAGCTGTCAAATGCTTTTTCGATGTCTAAGAAGATGCCGGTTGCTTGGGATTTAGTTTCCCATATATTAGTTATTTTATCACAAAGGGTTGCTAATGCTGTATTGGTAGATTTGCCATTTCGAAAACCATGTTGGGATTGGGAAATTTTATTATTATTTTCTAAATAGTTCATCAGTTGGTTATGTATGCTTTTTTCTATGTATTTCGACAATGTTGGTAGGATAGATATCGGTCTATAGTTTGAAATATTTGTCTTCTCTCCTTTCTTATACTTTGGATAGACTAGGGCTATTTTTGCTAGGTCTGGTACGGTTGCTTGTTTAATTGAGGCATTTATTACGTTTAAAAGGGGCTCAATTATTTGATTTTTACAATGCTTAATCATTTTGTTATTTATCTCATCAATCCCCGAGGAATTTTTCGGGGGTAGCTTAGTCATTATTTGCTCAAGTTCTTTTTTTGGTTACAGTCTTGAATTCCGATAGAGAGTCTGGTTCGGGTAGTGTCATGTCCGGTGTTAGGTTGTCGAAATTGGTGTCCAGTGTCTCAGTAGGTTCTCCTTTGCCTAGAGTGATGAAGTGGGTATTAAATAATTTGCATATCTTGGTAGGGTCGCTGATAAGTTGGTCATTGGCTATTAGTTTAATCTCTTCGTTGTGTTTTTTATTGGGATTTCTTTCTCTATTTATGGTTGACCATAGTTCTTTATTTTTATTGGGGGCATTTTTTATTTTTTCAATGATTGTGTTTCTTTTTTGTAATTTAATTTCTAAGTCATAACATCTTTTTAGCCGTTTGTGTAGTTCCTTATCTTCATCTTTATTTGTCAATAAATATTTTTGTTCTGCCTGACGTAATGTAGATCTTAATTTTACCAGCTTTTCATTCCAGAATATTTTTTTATTATTTTTGTTATTATACGCTCTGTAGGTTTTGGGCATGATTTCTTCAATTTTTCCTTGGATGGTTTTCACTAGGTAGTTATATTTTTTGTTAACATCAGGAGTTGTAAATATGTATGACCAGTCTTGATTACTAAGTGATTCTTTTAGTTCATCTAATTTAGCTGTTGTTATTTTTCTGGT